AAACTGTAAGTGTATTTAATTTAGTTATGTTAGTTAATGATATTTTAGTTATGATGTAAATACAATAAAAATTAAACCACGATTTATAATAATTATCATTTTGATCCATACATTGGTAATGTCTGACTGGACCTCGTGTCACTTTATGTTCAACAAACTGGACCGTGAGGTCARAAAGGTTAAAAACTCCTGGTTTAGATGAACGTTCTTCCTGACTGCCTCAGACAACTGCTCCTAAAACTATCGGTGTTGTTTGGATGTACAACAGTCGGTTACAGGAAGTGGAACAGTTGAAGCAATAGACCATAAACAAACACACCCATGGTCTTCTGACCAATGAAGATGGTTTGTGAAGAACATAGTGGGGTCGTAATCCAGTGAAAAGGAGTCCAAACAGAACTGCACACTGTTAAATCAGCTTTGGTGTTCTGCTGTACAGTAATGTAAGAAAACTTAACACATTTTATCTCTTCACACCATTTGATCTCTCATGAATTACAAACACAAGTCTGCACCTGAGAGCTCTCTCTGTTACAGGTTTGTCTGCATGAAACCATCAGGAACAGACCTGGAAAAGACATCTGTGACTAAATTATGTCACTTCATCCATAACATCCTCAATATTACTGTGTTTTAAAAGGTCTGTGTTTCATGTAACTCAGGTCCAAACATAAGCACAGGTAACTTTAGCACATCTGCACTATTTAGCTGCTAATCAGAAAATCTAATCCAATACATGCTTGATGCAACAGAACCTACCAACTTTGTAGTGAACAGCTCCTTCCAGATCTCCTACAGTGGTCCAACCCTGTTTCTTCTCCACCTCTGGGTCATTGTGCAGGATCTTGTTCCTTAGCCAGGACAGGTAGTACACTCGCAGCTTGTTCTTTTTACCTGACACAGGTAAAGAGCAGAGAGAAGTGCTATTATTTTCTGCATCAAGCAAATAAAACACCTAWAAGCTGGTATTTACATGAAATCAAACTGAAGGTAAAAACAGTGAGAGTGTTTTTAACAGAGACAACATGAAGAAGAGATTTTAGAATCAGGCTCATCATTAATCCTCATGTTGGTTGTGTTTACTGTCAGGKGGTTGTGTTGTTCTGGTAATTACTGAGCCTTTGGTAAAACTGAACCAATAAAAACTGGTTTCCTCACAACATGGTGGCACTCTGAACACTTTAAACAAGTTGTTCTAAAAGATAGGTAAAAGTACACATTTAATGTTTACAGGTGTTATTGACACGATCTCCTGGCAGTCTGATGACATAAGAAGAACCAGGGTCAGGATGTGGTTTTACACGACACACGGTCTGACATACTATCCACGACGGGTTTTTTTTACGTGTCGGCAACGCAAAGAGTTTCAGCGAGGGAAAAGGATGCATGTGCAACTCTGTAGCATTTCCTTCCATCATGGAAAGCTGAAGTGTGTGTGTGTCAAGACAAAGCGTTCGCACACAACACCAGAGCTTTACACAACATCCGCTTGGCTGAAAATATATGTTGTGACATTCATGAGTGCTGCTGGTGTGAGGGATGTTGGGAAACAGGAGAAGTAACAATGTGGAGGGACTTTCAGTCTGGTTTAGATCGGTCTCAAACTCAGGTGTGTGTGTGTGTGTGTGTGTGTGTGTGTGTGTGTGTGTGTGTGTGTGT